TTAGCTACAATTTTTAACTAGCTTTTTGCTACTTTTAGCTTTTAGCTAGTATTTGAATAAGTTTAGCTTTTGCTATATCATTCTCCTACTTTTAGCTTTTGAGTGGCGACACTGGCTGTTTTAGCTTTTAAGCTATATTTTTTTGGTACTTTAGCTTTTAAGCTATCATTCTGCTACTTTTACCTAGCCTTTTGCTCTTTTTAGTTTCAACCTACTCTTTTGTTACTTTAACTTGTAACCAGCCATTTGATACCATTATCTTTTGGCTGTTCTGCAACGGTTAGCTGATTTTAGCCATTTTAGACTACCTAGCTTTTTGCTACTTTTAGCTTTTAGCTAGACTGTAAATCAACCTTTATTTATACAGGTAAATACACTTAGCTTTAGGTATCATTCTCCTACTTTTAGTTTTTAATTGGCCAACAGCTGCTTTAGCTTTCAAGCTGTCCTTTTACTTCTTAAACATTTAAGCTGTTGTTTCAGTACTTTTACCTGGCCTTTCGCTGTTAGTTGACCTTCAGCTGTTTTAAACTATAGCTACTCTTTTGTTGTACATTTTAGTCAGCTTTTTGCTGTTTTTATCTTTTAGCCCTTCTGCTACTTTTATTTGCCATAATATCTTTAGTTGTTGCTTTTTTTGCGACTTTAAGAATTTAGCTGTTCTTTAAAAACAGTTAACTTTTAGGTATTTTCTCACTTTTAGCTCCAATTTGCTAACTTTAGCTTTGCTGTTCAAGCCTTTTTTAGCTTTAACCATCATTTTGCTACTTATAGCTTTTAAGTAAGGTTTTTGTTACTTTAAGGTTTTAGCGAGTCTTTGGAATGTTTTGCTTTTAAGTTATCATTTTACTACTTTGGCTAAACCTTATAGTTCTTATAGCTAACCCTTTGCTGCTTTGAGCTTTAAGCCAGTGTTCTGCTTCTTTTAGCTTTACAATGCTAGTTTTGGCCTCTTCAACACATTTCTTTTTCTGATTTAAACAATTATTTTTTTTAAATTGTTTTTATCTTTAAATTATCTCAAATCAGTTTCTTCTTTTGATTTGTTTGTTTGCTCTGAATTAAGAACTTTCCAGGATTTCCAAGACAGAATGAAAAATGTTCAGCTGTAAAGAAATGAAACAAAAAACAAACCTTTAGAAACACATTTGATGAATTCTCAATGTTTATTTCCTAAACGGCCGACATGTTGAAGGAAAATGTTCTGTTTGTTTCCTTTGAAGCGTTGCACTTTAAGTTTGGACTTTACGTCGTTTTCTGCTCTTTTTAAACTGTTGTTATTGTTTTAACACTTTAGATTTGTTTCAATGCCATGCTTTAATGTTTATTCAGCTCAGAGAAGCTTTTTTTTTTAAACTGTTAAATATCAATATATAAATTGTGCAACACAGTTTGCCTCTATAATTTGTATTTTTCTCAAACATGTGCAGAGAAATGTGAAGCTGAGCTGCAGCATCTCACTGAACTCAGATGTTTAAATTGCTCGGATCCCGGAAGTGACGCACAGGGCCGAATGGGGTCCTGGCGTGATGCATGTCTGTGGAAGAAACAAGCCAAAAACGAAGAAAGAAAAAGTTGGGTGGATGAGGAGATGTGTCCAGTTGGACACCAACAGGCAGAGCTGCGCAGGAAGTCAGAGGTGTTACCTTCAAAATAAAAGAGAGGAGACCCCTTTTCTTCTTTATCTGATCCTGGTTGAAAAGTTGTGCATTCTTTGCATTAACAAATGTTGCAGATGTTTTCTGATTAAATACCATTAAATACATGATGTTTCTTTCCTTTGTGTATTTTGTGTTTTTTGGAGAAATCTGAACGTTCCTAACAAATTAAAATGCCCTGAAATAATAAACAGCATGTCAGGATTTGTTTGTCAGAATATTTTATCCTTAGCATGAGAATGAAATATAATAAAACCTCTTCTTTCTGACTCAGGAAACACAAATATTTATAAACATTTTGTGTCCATCATTTTATTTTTAATTTGTGGTTTTATTTGTTACTCTTGAATTTAAAAAAGTAAACCCCCCCCCCCCCCCCACCACCACCACACACACACGTTTATTATTATTTTTATTTTTATTAATGGCAACTATTTTTTATGTATTTCTGTGAGCGTAAAATAATATATAGAAATAAAATATGTTTATGAAAACCATCTCAAACTAATAATAAAAAATACTGAGACATTTTGTGTGACAAAGAATATTTAAACATAAGAGGTTGAAAAAAAGTAATTCTTGTTCACCTTTTCATATAGATAACATTTTATTTGTTTTATGTCTTTGTTGTTTTTTAATCTTCTTGTTTTTATATTTAGCATCTACTTGTGTATGGATCTGCTGTGTGTTTATTTTTATTTTTTGAGTTAACACTGCTTTAACTTGGTCAAAATAAATAAATAAATCCTATGATAGATGGATTTGCAGTAATTTTTATTGAGCTTGTTTTATATTAGCTATGATAGAGGATTTTTAATGTTCAACATCCGTAAATCTTTCTTTTTTGCCGTTTTTAATATTTTTGCAACTACAGCTTTGTTGTCACTTTACACCTGCTTGAATTTGTTCTTTAATTTTTGTTTAAAACCACTTGTTTCAACATATTGTGAAATTTGTTACAGCTTTGCAGTATTATTTCCATATATTTTTATTCAAACATATCTCTAATGACTCACGGTGTGGCTATTTTCTGGTAATCATACTTTTATATAAGTCTTTGTTGTCTGTTTGTTTCATGTAAAACATTTTAATTAATTCCCATAAAAAGCAGAAAACAGATGGAGGTTTGTGAAGTCTTTTATTGTGAAGGCTGTACACCGGAACTACCCCGTTTCTTTTTCCGGTAGTCGCGGCCCGTGAGCTGGTGGTCCTCCTGGGTGAAAAACACCATCTGGAGAAGGCGAACAGTTGTTCAACGGTTCAAGGTTTTCTTTAAACTTTACCCCCTCTCTGAAACTTCAGAAAACAAAGCGGCGAGTGGCGACTTTAGTGGCTGAAGCGGGTTTAGTTGTTGCCGGAGGCTCGGAGCGGTTCGACCCGTTAGTTTTCGGGAGGGAAGCAGGAAAAGTTGGGGTGAAAATGGAGAGCCCAGCTGAGTGAGAGTGGTCCGAGGAGGCTGGCTTTGGCTCGGACTGGGAGTCCTGCCCTGCGGCGAACTCCGCTCGGGTAAGTTTGGGTTAAAACATCAAATAAATACATTTAACTTCGATTTAAACACAAACTTTTTATTTCAGGACACTGTCTTGTTGTTTTGGTCGGAACAAACTAGTTCTGGTAGTTTTTGTCCTCGAAAAAACAACAGATGAGGCCTGCGTTAAAAAAACACCTATAAATAATGAACTTTAAAGTGAATTTTTTTAAATAAATATGTTAGTTAAACATCTTTAAAATGTGCTAATCTGTGTTTAAATCTGCTGTAAAAATGATACAAACTATTTGCGTAAATATTACAATAATTAATTATTTATTAAACATTATAGTAACATTTTTGTCATTTTTTATAGGAAATATCCCAGTTTGGTTCAAATGCATTTCATCCATCTACCAGCTCAGACTGTTGTGTAAAGTGAAAATAAAAACAGAATAAAATGATCTGAAATCGTAATAAACTCATATTGTACTCGCAGTGGAACGTAATAAAACATGTAAAAATAAAAGATAATTTAGAGTTTAAAGGCAGAAACAAAGCAGATGTTGTTCTGAAACCTGTACATACTTTTCTGCATTGATGGAAGCTTTCCAGATGTGTACGCTGCTCATGTCAAGAGGCACTAATGCACCCACATACCATCAGAGAGGCAGACTTTTGAACTGTAAGCTAACGCCAGGCTGCACATATTACACATATTATGTTTTCTTTGCCTGATAGAGCTTTAAGCAGCATTTGTGGGTGAACCGTGTTTGCAGATGATCTGTGGAAGTGTTCCTGAACCCAGAACAGAACCAGACCTGACTTAATGCTGTGGCCTCTGAGGGCCCGAACATCACAACCATGACGTTCAGCCTCGCCCTCTGAGCGCAGATATTTCTACAGATATTTCTACAGATTTTTCTACAGATTTTTCTAATCTGTTGACGAGATTATGAACTGCAGACGATGGGGATTCAATAAGTCTTTTAAATGCGGAACTTTATTCTGAAATTGTTCCACAGTGTTCACAGACAGCTGGACCTCTGCCCATCTTTACTCCTAAAATGCTCTGTTGGTAATTAACCTAATTAAATACAAAATACTGCTCTAGCTGTATTTTTTTTTTTAATTCATGCCACTTTTTAAAAACGTGGTGCTAAACATGTTTTCTTCATTTGTGGGACAACCACCAACGTTCGATCCGTTTATTATGTTCCACTGGGGATAAAATAGGGAGTTGTGATATCTGCAGATTGTTGCGTTTTGGTTTTGTTTATATTTTACACAACATCCCAACGTTTTCAGAATGAGTTTTGTATAAAACGTTGGTGTTTTTGGTCCAGTTGGCCGTAACTAATGAGATGCGGATAACGCCTCGTTCCCTGAACTCAGGTTCATTTGTCATTTTGCATTTCACAGTTTGGCTCGTCTGCAGCCAGCGAGTCTCCGGGGTGTTAATCTGCTGACGCTGCAGTTCTTCCTTACGGATCAAAGTTTAGCTGATGACCTTTTTTTTCTGTGGATGTTCTCCAGGAGTCCCGAGGACATCATCCCTCCTTGATTGATCGTATTTCTGTGCGGGGCTCTAAGGGTTTCCTCGGCGGAGCGTCAGAACCTCCTACCAGCCGATTGCACAGCAGGGAGGGCCCGAGTTCAGAACACAAGAAGAAGTTATCAAAATCTTTATAGACAAAATGTATCCATCTAGACAAAATGTATCCATGAGCTTCTGGGACGTGTAGAACCCCCTCCTCCCTGGACTTGAATGGGTGTGGTGAGACTTGTCCATCATCGGCGGTCTGAGCCTGGATGTCGGCTGTCCTGAGTGCGGTGATGAGGCTCGGCTCCTGGTGGCCTGTGTGGCTGGCTGGGCTGGGCCCGAGGTGATGTGATGGGGTGCCGGAACAGCAAGGTCCTCCCTGAGCCTCCAGGGGACGTTCAGTTGGACCTGGTCAAGAAGGTCAGTAAGAAGTTTTGTTGCATGTGGGGGGGTGGTAATTATATGTAGTCATCATCTTACCTGCAGTAGACCGGTCGTTATAGATAATTGGAGAGAGAGTTGTAATATATGAACAGCTTTTTTTCAACCTTTTTATGAACTAGTTTTATTTAAATTATTTTCATCTGGGTCATGACGATCAAGAAGTTTTGTAGTGATTCACAGACGTGCACGATGTGTCTGCAGAGCTGCCGTGTAGCTTTGGGATTAACTCTAAATGCGTTAATTAAGTTTTAGTATGGATAAAATTCATGTATCCTTAATAAGTTGTCTCGTTGTCAATGTGTCGAATCGGCTGCAGACCAGACATGCACGACCTTTTATTATAAATATTTTTTTATAATCTAACATAAACAACGAAATCCTCCAAATCCAGTGAATCCAGTCCAAACTAACTGTATTTGAATTATGTATACTGTCGATTCTGCTTGATAATATCAGTATCTTTCACTTTTACTTGACAAAACATTCAGAATCTTTTTATTTTCTTTCTAAGCAGACAAACGTTTTTGTCGTTGATGGAGCTCTTTTACAGTTTTTATGATTTTATCTGCCTTTTCTCTCATTTTTATCATTAAGACGAGCGTATTGTAGTATAGTCTCCGTCCGTACGTCTGTAAATTTCCTAATGTTCGGGCCATTACGCCAAGTCCCGTACACTTTTCATCAGCCCAGCTCCAAGGTCATAAATCAAGGTCACAGGCTATACGAGGTCTTTGCAACAGATTTCTGTGTAAGTTTGTTGATGTACCTGAACGTGACTCGTGCTCCTCAGGTGGATCCTCCCTCACCTCCTCAGACAGATATCTACAGGCACTTCATACGAGGAGATGGCTCCGGGAGCAAGACCAAAGGAACGGCTGGAGACCAGCCGGACTTCATCTCCTCGAATCAAGCCCAGGCACAAGCAGCCAGTCCCACCGCTTCATCCCAGACCCTCAAGGACCCGTCCAAACTCTCGGACCCTGAGCGGAGGAAGGTGGCAAAGTATCGAGCCAAGTTCGACCCTCGGGTCCGAGCGAAGTACGAGATCAAAGCCCTGATCGGTCGCGGGAGCTTCAGCCGCGTTGTTCGCGTGGAGCACAAGAGCACGCGGCAGCCGTACGCCATCAAGATGATCGAGACCCGTTACCGCGCGGGGAGGGAAGTGTGTAAGTCCGAACTGTGCGTCCTGCGCCGAGTCCGTCACACCAATATAATCCAGCTGATGGAGGTGTTTGAGACGGCGCAGCGCGTCTACATGGTGATGGAGCTGGCCACCGGAGGGGAGCTGTTTGACCGGATCATCGCCCGCGGCTCCTTCACGGAGCGGGACGCCACGCGGGTGCTGCACATGGTCCTGGACGGCGTCAAGTATCTGCATGCCTTGGGGATCACGCATCGAGACCTGAAGCCGGAGAACCTGCTGTACTACCACCCCGGACCCGACTCCAAGATCATCATCACTGACTTCGGTTTGGCCAGCAGCAGGAAGAAAGGCGACGAGTGTCTGATGAAGACCACCTGCGGCACGCCGGAGTACATCGCCCCCGAGATCCTGGTGAGGAAGCCCTACACCAACGCTGTGGACATGTGGGCTCTGGGGGTGATATCGTACATCCTGCTGAGCGGAACCATGCCGTTCGAGGACGACAACCGCATGAGGCTGTACCGGCAGATCCTGACGGGGAAGTACAGCTTCTCTGGAGAGGTGAGATGATTCCAACACGTCCTGCACAGATCACTGAGAAGTTCAGCTTCCACACTTTATACCAAACCGTTCTTCTCATTTTCTGCTGACAGCACTTGTCAAAAATCAGTTTTCTCCTTCACAGCAACATAAATCTTTACATGAGCTGGAAAAGTGCTGACGGTCTGTTGTAACGTGTGGGACGCTGTAGCCTCTGGTTAATGTTTTGCTCCACATTCCAGACTAATACAAGTTGTGCAGTTTTGTATTTGTTAACAAGAAATTGTTAAACTGTTGCAGTTTTCTGGGGATTGGACGTTTTCTTTCATGAAATATATATTTTAGCTCAAAAACGGCAGAGCGTGGTAATTCAGTGAGCGGTCTCTGGGGTTAAAATAAATCTTTTTGCTGGAAACTGTTTCTTTTGTTTCTAAAATGACTCAATAATATTTATCCATGAAAAAAATCTTGCTCAAAATGAACACGAAATAAAAACTTCTTAAAGCTGCTTTAAAAGCTTTTTTGAGCCTTTTGGATCCACCAAACTAAAAGAAGCATTTATAGGGTTAAATCCTCTCTGTTGCTCACTTTAACCTTTAAAGTAATATTTTCTCATAAATTTAACTTAAATGGGTTTAACGCTGGAGGTATTTGACATTTACTATGAGTGGAGAGTAATTTTTGAATATCCAAAGTCTAGTTAAAATGAATAAATTTGAATAAATAATTTATCATATACAACTGTCAAGTTCAAGTTTCTCTTGAAAATGAGTCCCCGAGACTCAATGGGTCTAAATGGGGCTTTTCTATGCTGGGTGCCTTATTTAACACACCTACCTCCTTCCCCACACCCAAAATTATTTGTTTATTTAAATAAAAACATAAAAACAACAGAAGCACAGAGTTTGTTTCTGACATTGTAGTTTATTTTGAAAGGATTATCAAGTAGAAACTATGGCCAAGGGTGAGCTCAGCTTTAGTTTGTGACTAAAACATGTTTTGATGATTTCAAGCAAACTCACATAATTACTGATGAATTTAAATAACGTTTTTGCATAAAATACCCTTCCTCTACAGTGACTTGAATGAACTGTGACTATTGAAGGAATGGGTTTCTTTAAACATTAATTCACAAAGAACAAATAATAAGAAAAACTAAAGAAATGTAATTTCCTGTGAAAATGCAGCGTGAAGGCGTATTGCTGAAAGATTTTCACTGAAAGATGCTGAAAAGGTTTCGTCACTAAACTGTTAATGCAAGTTTCATTTGAATTCAGTTAAATTCTGTTTGTTTCTGTAGCACCAAGTCCCAACAGAAATTATCTCAGGGCACTGAACAGAAACATTCATTATAAAAGCCAATTAGGAAAAGTTCTCTATCTAAGGAAGCAGCAGGTTGTGTTGAATCTTCACTTCGTCACAGTCCTGATCCTGAGCAAGCACAAAGGAGACAGTGGGAAGGAAAAACTCCCTTTTAACAGAATGGGAGGCAGAGCTTTCAGTTATCAGACTCCTCTCTTGTGGAACCAACTTCGTTTCTGTCTGTGAGGCTGACACCTTGTCTACTTTTAAGATTAGACTTAAGTCTTTCTTTTTTGATAAATCCTATAGTTAGGGTTGGCTGGGATTTCCTGAGCTATGGGCTTAGACTGCTGGAGGACAAATTGACCACATTTCCTCACTCTGCTGCTGTCTTTACTTGCTCTACTCTACCTACTTTTGGAAACTCTAGGAACCACAAGTAAACCTGCAGTCTGAGAGCAAAGTGCTCTGTTATGAAAGTAAGGAACAATAAGATCAGTAATATAAGATGGAGCTAGGTTGTTGAGAGCTTTGTAGGCCAGAAGTAATATTTTGGAATTATATTCTGAATTTGACATGGATTTAATGGAGAGAAGCTAAAACTGGAAAGATAAGTTCTCCTACCAACACTCATTAAAACTCTGGCAGCAGCATTTTGGATCAACTGAAGGCTTTTTAAAGAATTGTTTGGACACCGGCTGCACAGTGGCCCAGTTAGTAGAGTGAGAGAGTGAATGATTGTTTGTGTCATTAGTTTCTGTGTGTCCCTGTGATGGACTAGCAACCCATCCAGGGTGTACCCCGCCTCTTGCACAGTGATTGCTGAACATGGGCACTAATGACCACTGCGACCCGAAAAGCAAGAAAAGGTAATGATAATGGATGGATGGATGTTTCTAATTTTAGTGATATTACGCAGATGTAGGAAACTGGTAACATTTTTAATATGGTGGTTTAAAAGACATGTCCTGCTCAAAAATAACGTCAAGATTTTCAACACTAGAACTGGAGGCCAAATTAATGCCATCCAGCGGCAATGAAGGACTTAAAATTGTATTCCTAAGATGCTCATGTCCAAAAACTACAAAACTCTTTCTTGTCTGTGTTTAAAAGCAGAAAGTTAAGGGTCATCCAGGTTTTTATGTCTTTTAAGACATGCTTGTAGTTTACGTAACTGATTGGATCCATTGGGTTTCATGGCCACATATAACCATCAGCATAACAATGAAAATGTATCCCATGCTGTTTAATAACTTTACCTAATGGAAGTATATATAAAGTAAAGTGTATTGGTCCAAGCACCAAACCCTGAGGAACTCCATGACTAACTTAGGTGTATGAACAAGATACATTTTTTACATCTACAAACTGGAATCTATATATATATATATATATATATATTAAACCATTTTAGAGCTGTTTCTGTAATCCCAATATTATATTCAAGCCTCTGTAGTAAAATATTGTGATCTGTATCAAATGCAGAGCTGAGGTCTAACAGGACCAGTATAGACACCTGTCCATTGTCAGAGGTCATGAGAATATCATTAGTAACTTTCACCAGTGCTGTTTCTGTGCTCTGAGTTCTAAACCCTGACTGAAACTCCTCATATTATTTCTGTTCAGATGTTCACACAGTTTGAGCAGCTGGTATTTGCTTAAAGCAGGAAAATAAAAGCAGAAAGAACTTAAAATGTAGAAAAAAGTTGAAATTTAGAAAGTAAGAAAAAACCTAGCTGAAAAAGCTTTAAAAAAGAAGCTCAAATTAGCAAAAAGTGGCAGAAATGAGCAAGAAAGTACCTGAAAAGACTACAACAAATAGGTAAATTTAGCAGAAAGAAGCTGAAAGGAGAAGAAAAATAGCTGAAATTAGCAGAAAGAAGCTAAAGCAGAACAAAAGCTGAAATGATCAGTGAAAACAGCTCAAAGGTTTGAAGGATGTGAAGAGAGCTCCATTCATTTTCAATGAGAAAAACATGGCAGACAAGCTAAATATTTCAAAAAGTAAAAATTGCACATATACCAAAAGTCAGAGCAGGAATGTCCTGAACGGCCGAATGCGTTTGTTTTAAAATCCAGAACTTGTTGGACCAGTCCAGTGGTGTCTAGTTCTGGTCCTGAAGGGCCACCATCCTGCATGTTTAGATGTTCCTCTGCTCCAACAGTGACTGAATCAGGCTTCTGCAGAACATGAAGAGGTAACTTCAAACAGGTGTGTTGAAGCAGGGAAATCTCCAACACATCCAGGACGGTGGCCCTCAAGGACCAGGACCGGGCAAACCTGGACTAGTTGGTGAGACAGCTGTCCAGATGTGTTAGGACTCAACCCTGTATTGAAAGTCATGAATATTAAACGGTTGTATTGAGCTGATTTCTGCCTGAACAATCCCAATAAAGCTGTTTTTAATTTAAATAAATGAGCATTGTAAGTGCACCAAAACTAAACTCATAAGCAACAAAGAGTAGTTCTTAGAAACACCACAGAGTCAAGTCCTTACACAGTACTCTGCTTTTCTTGTACAGTATTTGTGTTTTTGTTCACCCGTTGAAGGCAGATGTTTTACGGTTCAGTTTCTGTCCGTAAACCTCCTGACCGGGTCACGAGTCTCAAGAGATCAAAACAAAACTAACTTTGAAAGATGACCAACTTGGTTTGGCTTCGTTGCAATGCCTAACTGGTTGTTTTTGTAAGTATTTAATGTTGTTTTACACAAAAAGTCAACAGAAAGATTCATTTTAAGGAACAGGATTTTTGCTGCAGCGAAGCGGCTTCTCTCACGAATCATGATAAATAATGTTCACCTTTACAGCGTCAGTCCAGGAACTAGTCATATCCCAAACATGGGGAGAAATGAATCAAAGTGTTTTAAACCCGTCATGTAGCTTTGTCCAAGAACGATGATTTACCTGCTGGGAGAAGGGGGGTGGGGGGTCGGCGGTGTACCGAGACACTGAAAACACAGCTGGTTACCGTGTGTGTGTGTGTGTGTGTGTGTGTGTGTGTGTGTGTGTGTGTGTGTGTGTGTGTGTGTGTGTGTGTGTGTGTGTGTGTGTGTGTGTCTTGTCTGGGTGGGGGGTAAAGTTTGACTCACCGCCCATCACTCGCACCAAATGGAGCTCATTTCTCAGAACACGTCGACAGCGTTTACTGGGAACGTTTGTTTCTAAAAGATGTTTTGGGAACAAACTGACTCAGTCCAAGTAAAACAAAATCAGATTAATAAAATATATTTGTCCTGGTGATGTCACTGGACCCAAACCAACAGAATAAACTGTGAAAGACGTACCTGGACGAAGCTTTTGTTAGTTTAGCCTTTGTTTCTGCACGTGTTGAGGTTTGTGCTCCTGCTGCCATCCTGTGGCCTGAAACAAGAACTGCAGACAAACCTCCACTTCAGCTGAGCTTGATTTGGGTTTTTTTATGTTTAATTCATAGTAAACAGTTTTTAATGAAAAGTTTGTAGAAGAGCTTAAAGTTTGTATAAAAAAAAACAATCATCTGGGGGACGACATCAGTTGCTCACGTAGGAGCTCCTTGTGGCACTCCTGCGTAATGGTGGGCCGCCTTTGGGGTTTAACTCATCCAGCTGCTAAAATCAGACCCTAGTCTGGACCCAGAGACCCTCTGCCCTGACTGCTTGAAGTCCACGGTCTCGGTGTCCAGCGCTGAGACTGACGATGTTTTGTATGTTCAAACTTAGACATTGGGCATTGAAAGACATGGGGTTATCTTGTTTATTTGTCATATGCAGGTTAACACAAGGTCAACAATGCAATGAAATGTTCAGGATGAGAAGAACTGATTCGACTGGCTAAAACCAAAAAGAACAAACAAACAAGAAATACTAAAGCATGCAATCAATAAGGGTACAAAATAAAGTACCAAAAAGTGAAAATGAAATATAATATTTACAAGGTCCAAAAGAAAAAATGGCAAACAACAACAACATGGTAGAATAGAACGATGCAAGTAGAATGAATTTGTTTAAATAACAGATAGTAATATAATCTTAAATGCACATGATATATTGCACATAACTAACAAACTACACAGGTTGTGAGACAGGTTGTTGCACAGGTAGTGAGAAACATTGAGATTGAATTCTGATGGTAAGGTAGTGACATACAGGATGCAGCCACATTGTGCCGCAGCAGTAGGGGATGGCTCTGCAGAGGGTGGTTAAGGCTGCACAGAAGACTGTGGGGAGTAGTCTTCCCACCACCATGGACCTCTACAGTTCACGATGCAGGGGGAGGGTGCTCCGCATCATGAAGGACTCCACTCATCCTGCACACAGTCTGTTCCAGCCCCTCCCCTCAAGCAGGCGGCTGAGGAGTTATTATCAAGAGTTCAGTAATCTGACAGCTTGTGGGTAACAACTGTCTTTGAGTCTTTTTATGCGCGATGGGAGGCTCCTGTATCTGCCTGAGGGAAGTGCATGGAAAAGTCCTTGTGCTGGGTGGGTGTGGTCCTTAATGATGCTGCGTGCTTTACGCAGACATGGGCTGTGGCAGATGTCCTGGATGGTGTGGAGACTGCTACCATGGTGATGTGCATTCCTTCAGGTGACGCTAGTTTTGTTGTTGAACATGTTTTGGCGCTGAGATGTGGGTCAAAAACAAAGAAATACTTCAGTAAAACTTCTGTAGAGACACAGAAAGTTGCATGAACAGCTGGAGGATTTGTGCTAAAGCTTCACAGTGTCCATTCTGTGCTTGACGGTTGTCTCCTGTCTCCCGTCCACAGCCGTGGCCCAGCGTGTCCAACCTGGCCAAAGACTTTGTGGAGCGCGTCCTGATGGTGGACCCCAGCGAGCGGCTGACGGCCGGCCAGGCCCTCAAACACCCCTGGATCGTCAGCATGGCAGGTTCCTCCCAGAACAAGAACCTGCAGCGCTGCATATCCCAGAACCTCCTGAAGCGCGCCTCCTCGCGCTGCCACAGCACCAAGTCGGCCCAGTCCACGCGCTCCAGCCGCTCCACCAAATCCAACAAGTCCAACAAATCTAACTGGTCCCGCCGGGTCCGAGAGAAGGAGCTGCGGGAGCTGAACCGCCGCTATGAGCAGCAGTACAACGACTGAAACTCTGCGGCTGTCCTGAAGACCAAAACGTTCTGCTTTAAAAAGACTTGGATAAACCCATGCTGCCTCTGAGACCAGAACCGACCAGTGAACTGTTTCTGAAGCCACACGACGTAACGTTCCTCCACTCCTCTGTCAAACATCCTTTTGTCCTTTAAAGTCCTTTTTCACAACGTATTTATTTATTATTGTGTCTCAGTTGAAGTGGTCACTGGATAATGACCTTCACAAAGTTCTGTTGAACAGAGTTCTGGACACCATGTTTCTCAGAAGCAACGTGTTCGTTAAGGTAGAGGAAATGTTTTCCTCCCGCTTATTTCTGCTTCAGAAGTGCTGTGAATTAGTTTTTGTTCTGTTCGGATGCTGCGTGGAGTTGATAATCAGATTATCCTGCGACCTCCTCTCCCTCTGAAGGCCGACGCTTTCATTTTCTCTAGTCCTGAGTTCATCTTTAACGTTTTACAACGGTCGCTCTGATTTTTCTCTTTTAACGGTTCTTGAACCGTATGAAGATTGTGAAGCTCGTAACGTCATGAAGACTGCTTTAATGAAAAAAATCATAAATTATGACTCAAAAGCCGCACTTTTATGGTGTTACAGTATAGCCGCCGTACGTCCATGAACTTTCTCTTGTCTCGTCTAGAACTTCTGATCCGCTCAAGATAATTCAACAATGCTTCATACACTTACCGCTAGTCGGAGTGTCGCGTACAAGGTCGTCTACTTCAAGGTGGGGCTGGGCGATATGGACCAAAATTAATATCTTGATATTTTTAAGATGAATGGCGATATACGATAAGTATATTGATATTTTTTTGTTCTATAAAGTAATAACAAAAATAAATTTCTGAGTCAAAGCTTTGTCCCAGTTGTCCTACAGGCACGTTGATTAATAAATCGCTGTAACTGTTTCACTTATGAAAATAATTGTCTTGTAGTCAATGATATACATTTAACTCTGAAACTAATTTGTTAAAATTATTACTTATTATTATGCCTGGCAGTTTTTTTTTTTCTTGTCCCAAATCAACTGATTGAATATTATAATATTGCACTCACCACTGGCCAGGTGACCCAAACACTGCATCCTCATCAGTCACTTATTCACCTGCGCCGCCTTCACGATGTTAGCCTCGTTGTCTTTAGTCGTCTTGTTGTCTTTAGCGATATGCTAAGCCACTCCTTTACTAATGTTGCTACTTCTAACTTCCTTTCATAAGGCACAACACGGGTAAATAAGTTTTGTACCCTGGTTTGTTAGCATCAAAATGAAAGAAAACCTTTTGTCCTTTTTACTTTTAGGAAATGTTTTGAAACGGTGAGCTGTGTGCAAATAAAGCACTCAAACCTGACTCTTGTGGTCTTTACGTTTAATTATTTTCTGCTATAAACTTTAAAGTAAATTTAAAATAAAACTGAACTGGACTCGGAAATGGTGGATAAACAGAAAAAAAACCTATTAAATCAAGTTTAAGCTTTAATATCAGGCAGAGTTTTAATGTGGTTGACGTGAAACGGATGTTTTAAAGAAACAGAATCATAAACTTTGTGAATATTTCCTGCATTAAGGGGTGGTTGAGACCAAACTGAGCTAAAAAAAGAAAGATTAGACAATAATTATAATTCGGAGTTTCCCTAGGATACTAACGTGACTTTACTGAACGTGCAATTCTTAGACATCCAGGACACTTAAAAAAGAAACTTCTATTTTGTGGCAATCAGTTATTTTGTCTCAAATTGACCAGTTTGTTTTTTTAAAGTCCATTAAATGGGTTTTGTTGTTAAAATAATATTGAGTTAATGAAGCAACTAAATAATGTAAATTAAATCTTAGAGCCGCTGCTCCTCCATCCAGAGGAGCCAGTTGAGGTGGTTCAGACATCTGGTCAGGATGCTCCCTGCACCTCCTTAGGGAGGTGTTCTGGACATGTCCAATCAGGAGGAGACACCAGGGAAGACCTAGGACATGTTGAGGGGACTGTCTCTCAACTGGTCTGGGACGAGTCCTCTCAGAAGAGGTGGCTGTGGAAAGAAATGTCTACTCTGGACCTCCCTATTCAAGATGCTGGTCCCGAGTGCTGATGGATGGATGGACAGACGGGTCGGACATGAGTCATGACTAGAGTAAAGCCACATGATGACAGGTAACCTTCAATCTCATTAAGATTTATTTATATTTTGAACATGATTTTGTACTAAATCTTGCAGATGTCCACAGATAATCAGTGGACATCAGGATTTATTGCTAAAAATTATATTAAATACTAGAACAAATAGATTAGTTGTATATCTCATTGTAAAGGAAATCCTATAGGTTTGTTTGTTTGTTTGTTTTTTTGAGTCAAAACATTGTTTTAATCTCATCAAGGTAAATATCTCCCCCTGCTGGCAGCAACGCAGCATCGTCGCGGAGGCCTGCTCGGTTGCCAGGTTTGATAAAAACGTAAGACTTATTATAACTCACGCCTTTACAAAAGAAAGAAATTGATAAAATTATACCAAATAAAGAGTTAATATGTGTGTCTACACAAATTAATGCGAGCACAATTGTTTACTGATAATTTTAAAAAGTATACACAAAGTGAACATGTTGATGGGAAACCTGGCGCCCCTGACAGACCAGACGTTAGTGTTCTGCGGCTCAAGCGTTTAGCGACTTCGCAGCTAGCTTCGGTCGATGGTTAGCTTTTGTTCGGAAGACGTTCAACCGGACACTTAACGGGGACTTTATCCGCACTAACTGGACCCGAACCGGACAAACACTCGTAATATAAATGTAAAAAAAACCGGAACTGGTTCTGTGAGCAGGGTGAGTACGGACAACACGAAGCACGAGACGCTAACAAGCTAACGATGAGACAAACTACCAGTAAAAAAAATCACGTTTTTGTTTATTTCTGACACTGAGGAAGAAATTAAGCTTTTCGTGTCATTTACAGTTTATACTAAATAAAATTATTTCGCGCAGATAGATTCTTCTCTTTGATGATATTTGGTCTTGTTTATATGCTGAAAAAATAGTATTTTGGGTTGATAACTATCTAAAAAACAGATTTACTTAATTTTTTTCGTCTTTTGGACACATGCTTTTGATGCAGTAGAAGATAGTTGTGTGTAAGACACAGTTTTAAGCTTTATGAATGTAAATTAAAGGGATGAAACGACGGTTTGCTCCGTTTTATTCGGTAAACAGTGAAGTTCTGGCTGTGTTGTGCACCTTTCAGCTTCTTTCTGAAGGCAGCTTAACCTTTCTGATTTTCTCCGAGATGCTCCTGATTTCCCAGATTAGCCTCAGTTCTCTGCTCTGGTGGGACTGGGAGGTCCTGCCTGATTGTGGCCCGGTGTCATGTTGACACAAGTGGACCCGACATGTCCCTTACAGCCCAGACCAGATGGACGACTTTTACAGCCCAGTTCGTCCCCAGAGGTCTGCTGTTGTGTCTGCCTGCCAGGGGATCCGGCTTTGAGCCGGATCCAGTAACTGATCCTCCTCCTGTCAACCAGGAGGTGGTTTAATGATATATTCCACACCTGTACATTCTTCCTGGAGGGTATTTATGCAGGAATTACTTGCTGTGTTGTTAGGAATCAGCAGAACGCACAAAGGAACATCTAATAAAAGTCTAATGTTTCTACTTCAAAATGGGGGTAGTGGTGGCGCAGAGGTCGGAGAAAGCGAGCCTGTGATCAGAAGGTCGCCAGTTTGACTGACACCATCAAAATGTGGTTGGGAAAGGTGAAGCACCCACACCTGCCTCCACTCTCATTTACCCCACTCTGGGCCCTCCACCCCACCATCTGCTGCCCCGGGTGCCTTAGGCTGCTCCCCACACTGTGGTAGCTCGGTGGTCTGTGGTTGCGTCAGGAAGGGCATCCGGCATCAAGTCTTCAAAATGCTCATGCATTTATGTTTACATCAGCAGTCTCTCACAGTTTGTTGCAAAATGTTACCTAGTTGACAAAATCAACACAACTGCATCCCTAATTAGAAAGAAATCTTAGCTTATTTTAGGAATAAACCTCTGGACCGAACTTCCCACATTAAATCTATATTCCAGCTTTAATGCATGTGCTGTTTTGTGTAAATAGAGTGTCAAAAAGAAATTAGCATAATGTTGAAATCATACAGTGTTTTCAGAAGGATAAACTGTTCAGTCACCTTTTCAACTGGATGTGATTAACCAAACTGGTTTTATTTATTTATTTGGGTCCCCCGTCGCAGAGCAAAGAGGGGGGATTTGGAAATACACTTGAAAAGTACCGGCGAGTGACGTACCGACTTCCATTCTGGTGTGCGGCTGCATGTAGGCGTAAGAAAGAAGTCGGTTGCCACATTAATAATCCAAGATGGCTGCCACTATACATATATAATTGCTTAAAAGTATAGTTTCCTCAAATGACTGGGATGGCCGAAGATTAATCTATAGTGTCCAAGGCCAACACTGCCCCCACCCCCACCCACCGGCTCCTCCACTGCTCCTGGTGGTGGATAAAATGGCTCTCTCCAGAGTTTTAGGTTTACTTGTATTCCCTGTTCAGTTTCTGTCCAGAAAAACACTCATCACCAAAACCACGAACATTCACTGTTTAAATCTGTCAGTGATGGGGGACGTCGGTGTACCGCTCGTTTTGTCATCGCAGTCCACAAACGTTGGCGATACTAATTTCTGTCTGAGACAAACACGTTGAATAAAAACACAAAACAAGTGGGGGCCACCTCCCCTCAGCCGGTCGTAGCCTGAACATCGAGTCCATTTGGCCCAGCGCCATGAGTTGTGTTGTCAGCCAACAAGCATGGACACGTGTGCACCTCCTCAGAGCCATTTTGTTTATTATATTGCATATCAAAAAAATTAATGTGATATTTATTAAAAAAATTTTAACGGCTGGTTTGATTGTTGTTGACGACGCTCTCTGGCCAGTCACAAATCTTCAGCTTCGCTTGGTCGAGTAGGTCCTAAGAACCGAACTTGAGCGGTTTGGATCACCTGATGGAAGACCATGGAAGAAGGCCTCTGAGAAGAGACGGTGTTCCAGCGCTCTGAGTTAAATCCTAAAATACTGAGCTCTCATGTGAGATCTTGCCGGACGTGTTGGCGATCAAAGTTTTTGTTGAGGATAACTCTCAGCTACTACCACGCCGAAGCTGAGTTTCATATTTGTAAAACTGAACCGAGGCATTTTTTTTGTTCTCTAAGGCCTCTTGGCTGTGGTGGCCATCTTGAATTGGGCTGGCTTCTAAACATATGCTCAGTTGTCACTTCCTGAACTGAAAGGTTCATTAAAATCCATCCAGTGCTTCACGAGATATTTTGCTAACAGAGTTGACTAAATAGTTATTGGCTGGATTCTAAACGTGTTGAGGATCACTCTCAGCTACTACCACCACATTTTTTTTAATCATTGAAATTGATCACATTATTTCTATTCCTGTTTTTTCAAGTCAGTTGACTGTGGCGGCCATCTTGAATCAGGTTGATTTCGAAAGTTAATCCGTTTTAGACGTTCATCTAAAGGTTATTTCCTGAAAGGTTTGTTGAAATCCATCCAGTGCTTCTTGGGATATTTTGCTAACAGACATGTTTAAGGATGTTGAGGCTGTTTTTCTTCCTCTGGGTCTGACCCGGAGGTTCTGGTTGAATCAGGTTTGTGTTTTTCGGGTCAGTCCAGTGATTTTAAAGAACAGTGGAAGCTTTTTTTAAACAGGAGGTTCTGATGAATTCTTGCCATTTTAAAGCAGCTTATGTGTCTCAAATACCGGGTCTGTGAGTCCTGGTTCTGTAGAACTCAGCAAGCTGGGTCATCGGGTCAGATTAGGTTTTATTTTGTAGATCTTGTGAAACGGAGGGAAACACAATCAGCTCGTACATCTGTTCAGAACCAAACACCCCTCCAGGCTCAGCCGAGGAAACAGGTTCTGGACCCAACATGACGGGTTCAGAGATCAGTATGTGGAGCTATTCCGTCTGACTGAGGAGGTTTATACCTTCAGACTGCAGGTGAGGTGTCACAGCCGATTATTTTAGCTGTTTTAGCTGATAAATGATAAAATAGCAGCCTGTGAAACTTCAGTCTTTACAGCTGAAAAGTGACTGAGAAAATGCAAAGAACAGCTGAAACCAGCTTCTAAATAAGCTAAAAGTCAGCTGATTAAACCAAAGAGAAGATTAGCTGAAAGTAGAAAATGAGCTAAAGTTAAAAACAAGTTAAAATTAAAAGATGAGCTAAAATTACAAGACTGCTAAAATGACACAAAAAACTGAACTGATAAAAGCTAAAACAATTAAAACAGTAGCTAAAAGGAGTAGAACAGTAGTTAAAAGCTAAAACCATCAGAATGGTAGCTAAAAGCTGAAATAACTAGCTAAATACTAAAACTAGTAGAACAGTAACTTAAAACTAAAACCGGTAGACAAGTAGCTTAAAACTAAATTGACAAAAATAGCAGCTAAAACCTAAAATAAGCAAAACGGTAGCTCAAAATTTATATTTAAGAGAACCGTAGCTAACGGCAACAAAGCAATGGCTAAACTGAACTGAACGGAAAATAGTAGCTAAAAGTAGCTAAATGCTAAAGGTAGCACATGAAGACAGGCAGTGTGCTGAAGCAGATTTCAGAGAATGATGTTTCTAAAAGAATTTAGGAGATCTTAGAGTCCTTTAAAGGTAAGTTTATTTTAAATAAAGCTAAATATTCTAAAACGTATAAAAGCCAAAGCGGACTGTTTCTGATTGAGCCGAAGGTTTGACCCGTGAATGGTTACAACAGCCAAAGTCTGCAGCTGCTAGCTCGTTCTAAACGGCAGCGCTGAGACTATTCGATGCTTGATTCAAAGGAGGAGTTCTGATTATCTTCAGTTAAGTTTGATCGCATCAGGTAAGAGGTAAGAGGCTCCGGTCCGACGAGTTATTGATTTAATTTTTTTAATCTTTTGCAGGTAAAACCCAAACAGGCTGCAGCAGAGCCCCACTCCAGCACCAGTACCCGTCCCAGTTCCTGCCTTCGTCCCGACTCCTCCAGCTGTCACCATGGCGACCCCGTTCCTCCTCCGGCCGTGTCGCTGAGCCGCCGCTCTGGGCCGCCGCCATGGAGAGGAAGCGCAGAAAGAAATTAATCTAGCTGCTCGGGCCGTTCGCAGTATGAACTGGGTTGTTTTGGAGCTGAGGACCTGAAAACGTTCCAACCCGACCTCTGACCCGCTGACTTTGCGGATCGAAATGCTCCTTTCTTCTGTGTTCGTACTTCTGGGGCTGCTGGCTGGTTTCCTGCCCGCGGTGGGGACGGTGCTGGAGCTAGGGGCCAAACCCGGTTCTGATCAATCCCCACTGGTGGACACTCCACTCTCAGCATCGGGTTCCAACTGCTCCCAGTTGACCCTCAAACTGGAGTTTTCCTCTGAGGTGGTGGAACACGGTAAGAAACCGATGAACAGTTCTGGTTCTGTTCTAAAAATTGTAGGAAACAGAATTTTACTCAAAGTCTCCACAGCAGTTTTAATACATCCATAACTCGGATTGATTTATTTGTAAAGTGATCAGCTTTTCTCACTGCAGTGACTTCAGGGCTCACCAGAGAACTTTTCCAGAGCCTCGTTATCAAAACCAAAATAACCATTTTTTTTGGTTTTCAATTCAATTCGTTTTATTTCTATAGCGCCAAGTCACAACAGAAGTCGTCTCAGGGCACTGAACAGAAATGTCCATACATAAAAATAATAAGTTAACACAATTAACTATTAACAGCTGAAATTAGCTAAAAATGCTAAAAAAAAAAAAGGTAGCTGAAAATACATTTACTCATTTAGGCTGAAAGAAGCAGAAATGAGCAAAAAGCAGCTGAAAAGTAGCTAAAACAGAAGAAAGAAGCTTGAATTACAAGAAGGAAGTGGAGAGGGCACATTTTTGCTGAATTAAGCTGAAAAAGTGCAAAAAATGTGGACTTAGCTGAAAAAGCTAAAATTAACGTAAAAACTGCTATAGAGTAGCTGAAACTTGCAGAAATAAGACGAAAGGAGCATAACAAGCTGAAATTGGAAGAAATAAGCTAGAAGAAGCTCAAAAATGTCGTAGTTAGCGGAAAGAATCTGAAAAGAGCACAAAACAGCTGAAATTAGCTGAAAGTAGCTGAATTTTTTTTTTTTTAATTTGCACAAGGAAGCAGAAAGAAGATGAACCAGAACTAAATGTGAAAGGAGCAGTAAAAGGTTGTAAACAGATCTAAAGCTATGAAGGATTTAAAATGAGCACAATTCATTTTCTATGAGAAGAAAATGGCAGAAAAGGCTAAATATTTCAAAAAGCTAAAGTTGCACCAATACCAAAAGTCATAGCGGGGTTGTCCTGAAAGAGCTGAACGTTTTGATAAATGATTTGTTGAAATAGCACAAAAACTGGAACGAGAACGATGCACAATAGAGTGAATGCTTCATAAACATTCACAGAACAAGTTTAGCACTTCCAGATAATCAGAATCTAGTTTATGAGCTATAATCCTGTTTAGATTAGAAATGTGTAAAAATTGATAAACTACAAACACATGAAACTTACAGCAAGAACGTTGTGACTTAAAAACAAAACTGCCTAAAAGTTAAATAGAGGCACTTGCTATAATTTTGGACATACTAGAAAAATTAGTCTTTAGTGTTAATATTTATTCAAAAGACCTGAAGCTGCCGAAACGACAATGTTTACCTGAGGGAGATTCAAACCGTCTGCGCGCTCCCGCGGTGCACTCTTCCGCTGTTCCACGGTGCGCTTCCACAGCCGCAAGTCGGACATGTTTAATGTTTATATTGATAGACGGGAGGCATGAACATGAATTAAGCTGTTACATTTTATTAAGTTATTACACGCCGTGATCTTTTTGGTGGGGCAGGCGGTTCTGTGTGGGGGGGGGGGGGGGTCACCCCCTTTGTATAATGGTAGGGGAAACGCTGCTAAAATTATTAAAATAAAATAATTCACTTTTGAATCTAATATTTTTAAATTATTTTACAAGACTTTTACCTGCATTTCATAAAATGTAGCTTGAGTTTCGTATAATTTTGCCACCAGATAAACTGCAGTTTGTGTTCAGAGCTGGGCTGTGATGTATAATTGTGGCTGTACTGTATTACTGTATTGTAATAATATTTCTCTTTTGGTTATTGTAAGTATTTGTCCTGTCTCTGTTTCCTCAGAGTACATCGTAACGTTTACAGGGTATTTCTCAGCCAAAGCCCGGAGTCTGTACATCAGCAGCGCCTTGAGGAGCGCCGGAGACACCGGCCTGGCGTGGCACATCGTTCCCCGGATAAACCCGGCCTCGGACTTCCCCAGCGACTTCGAGCTGGTCCACATCCTCCAGGCTTCACCCAGCAGCCTGCTGACCTTAGAGGACCACCCTTACATCAAGAGGGTGACGCCGCAGCGCAAAGTTTTCCGCTCCCTCAAATACACCGCCTGTAAGTCTTAGTTCGGGGAAAAGAACCGGCGCGCCTGAAGACAGATCCGTTCACAGATTGATGCTTTGTTTGTGATGCTCACAGCAGAGGATCATGTCTTGATGTGAAGTGCAGGGCAGTTGGGGGGGGGGGGGGGGGGCTTGTGGTGCTGGGATGTGGGGGTTGAGCATCTGTTTGCTGTTAGTGGGAAGGAGGAGGTGAGTCAGTGTGGCTGGATGTAGGGGTACGCCCTGAGCCTGGCGCCGGATGAAAGATGTCAGTGTGCCCCCAGCCTGCCTTTAAACATGCTGTTACCATGAGGGGGTGGGGCGGGGGACGTGTCACACATGCTGCAGCTCATCAACAAAGTAATAAACTAAAATAACTTGAAACGGACAAAAAGTTTAATGGCATCGCTCGTACTTTATCCCATATTTACCACAAGTCAGGTTTTGTTTTTGTTTACTGAATCAGTTGAATGTTTTATAGAATTCAAGAAATTAAAATTGCACGGCATTGCAGCTTTAACCCGGGCTTCAGCTTCACTGAAGCTGGAATAACAATAAGAAGAAGTCTGTTTTCAGTCTTGGGAAAGGATAATCCTCCAGGTAGCACCTGAACTTGTTTGCTGTGTTTGTGCAGCTTCACTTCATGAATGATCGGCGCTAAAGAAAGCCGAGGGAGCCGCCCTCCTTTGTTCCTGAGTTCGGCTATAAACGGCTGAAAAGCTGCTCGGCTCCTGCTTGTTAATTTCCTGATAGAATTTGTTCCTTCTAAGCGATTCAGCTTGTAAAAAGATAAGTTTTAATTATACTGACATGATCTGAAGTTCCATGAGGATCAGAATAAAATGGATCTGTTTAGTTTAACAGAAGATTCCTGGAGCGGGACACGGCGCTAACTTGAGTTAATGAAACGTTATCGGAGGCCGACCTGAAGCAGACTGAGACGTTTGAACATTTCAAGTCTTTTTTTTTCTCTCGTTTCGTCTCTGTAGCTCCTGAACCTGCAGCACCCTGCAGCCCCGCACCTGAAACTCCAAAATGGCAGTCGTGGCAATCGTCCCGCCCCTTCAGGCGAACCAGCCTCTCTCTGGGCTCGGGATTCTGGCACGCCACCGGACGCCACTCCAGCCGACGCTTGCTGCGGGCCATCCCCCGCCACGTGGCCCAGATCCTGCAGGCGGATGTCCTCTGGCAGATGGGACACACCGGTAAGAAACGGACTCCTTCCTACAACTTAATTAATTAAATTACTCTTGAAAATGTTTCTAGGACATTTTTTATATGCCGTCAAACGGCGGGATGTTTTAAAATACACCAATAACTTCTGATCCGCTCAAAATTATTAACAAATCTTCACACACTTATCACTAGACAGAGTGTCAAGTACACTTTTTATCACCCCAGCTCTGAGGTCAAGGTCACAAATCAAGGTCAAAGATAAAACAAGGTCTTTACTTGTTCAGGCTGTTGATTGCTGTTAAACAGTTCGTCCACAGGAGTATAATCTGCCGTATGCCGTCCTCTTGTTTTTGTTCCTGGTGCAGGTTCTGGAGTGAAGGTGGCAGTTTTTGATACGGGTCTGAGTGAGAAGCATCCGCATTTTAGGAACGTGAAGGAGAGAACCAACTGGACCAACGAGAAGACCCTGGATGATGGTGAGGAGGTTTTTGTCGGGCTGCTGGTCAGTCACAGTTACAGCCTTGACTAAACACGGGAAAAATGTTTTACTAGGCCCTAAGTGGTATTTTAAAAGAAAAGGAAATTAAACATGAGAGGATGAGATTTGCTTTATTGTCAGTTTTACTAAAAAAAAACTTTTAAGATGTTTCTTCTTGACTTTGTAGGAAGTAGGAAATGATCAAAGTCATGCTAATCATCACACAACATCATAAAGTGGCATTTCACCGTTTCAGCAGCTTGTTAAAAAAGTAATAAATGTCCAAACAGTATGTGTCTGTAAACATGAAGCGGTTCATTTTCTTCTGTCTGAGCTGAACTTTGACCCCGTCTGAGCACCCAACAGCTGATTAATGTGATGATTGCCTCCGTCCCCGCAGCTGATCCAATCCAACACTATCCTGGTTTGTAACTTCTTCAGACGATCATCGATTGAAAGTTAGAATCATTAACTGCTTCCAAACATTGTACCGAACCTGAACATATTCATGTCTGTGATTTATTCTGCCCTGCATCTCTTGGAGGTTTTATGTTTTTGGAATATGAATTTTGCAATGTTCTTTTGTGTAAACGTGCATAAATTAAATCTTGATCCAAAAGAATGGAACCACCGCACACACAGTGAGTGTTTTAGTGTCCTCGGTTTGCTTGTTGTCACGTTAAAGAGAGCTTGTGCTGTGTTTCAGGCCTGGGCCATGGGACGTTTGTCGCAGGAGTTATAGCCAGCACGAGGGAGTGTCAGGGCTTCGCTCCGGATTCAGAGCTCCACATCTTCAGAGTGTTCACCAACAACCAGGTATACATGCACAGTTTACTGCTGCTGCTTTTCATTTGATTTCTGCACAGATTTAAAACTTCAAACGCCGCCTCTGATTACATCCAAACGTACATTTAATGCATTAAATGTATTTGTATACCTTTGTTTAGGTTTCGTACACCTCCTGGTTCCTGGATGCTTTTAACTACGCCATCCTGAAGAAAATCGACGTTCTGAACCTCAGCATCGGGGGACCGGACTTCATGGACCATCCTTTTGTGGATAAGGTGACACAGAATTTGAATTGTGTGTGGCTGCAGATTAACTCCCAGGCTGTTTGTCTAGACATAAGAACGGTTGTAAACGTCTTATAGTCTTCCTGCACGGTTCAGCTCGTCACAAAACCTTAAAGAGGCGAGGCGGGTCAGCTGTCGCTCCAAACAGGTCAAACCAGGTTCATCAACCTTCAGAAACAAGTCCTCTGCCAAAACAAGCCTTTCTGTGGTTACAAAAACACGTGGGCTTAAACTCTGGTCTTGATGGGACTGGATCGGTTTCTGTTCTCTTTAAATGGACTGGGCTTGTATAGCGCCTTTCTGTGTTATCAAGACACTCAGCGCTTTACAACACAATCTGTGTCCTCATTTACCCATTCATACACTATACAAAGCTAATTGAACAAATCATTCTAAAGAGAATAATCAGTGCTTTATCACATTCATACACCAGTGGGATTCGCATCGGAGGCAGTGAGGGGTTCAGTGTCTTGCACAGGGACACTTTGACATGTGACTGCTGGTGGATTCGAACCCCCAACTCTTGCATTGGAGGACGACAGCTCTAACCACTCAGCCACAGCCGCTCCAAAGTGAAGTTCTCCTTTGAGGACTTCCCCAGTTCTTGCAGTTTCAGAACTTCTCTTCAAACGGTTTTGTTTGCATTTTTCTCACTTCCTGTGAACCCACAAACCTTTCACATCCAGGCAGTGGATTCTGGATTAAATAATTTCAGTCGTCGGGGCAACATTAGCGCACGGTGCTCAGTTTATCTGCCCCACAGGCAGAATTGGTAGAACTCCCCGCCCCCCCCCCCCCCCGGTCAATAAAAATCGACAGCAATGTAGCGCTAAGCTAGCAGGCGGGCAACACAGACATGACTCTGCCCCCCCAGAGCACCCCGCCAAGGGAACTGATCTATGGGAAACGCTGCATTCATTTTCATCACCATTCCTTTAAACTTTTAGTAAAATATCCCAGTAAAAGTTCAAATGTTTGCATCATGTCCAAAATATTACTCCACAAATATCAACAAATATGTTTTTTTAGACAAGTGTGGCCTTTTAAATTTAAATATTCTCTTCTGCTTTTCATTTTTATTTCTTTTTCATCCATCCAATAACTCATCAGAAGTCATTTTGTTGCTCTGTGACTGACAGGTGTGGGAACTGACTGCCAACAAGGTGATCATGGTTTCTGCTATCGGCAACGATGGACCTCTGTACGGGTGCGTTCTTCTCCAACCTGCTGTTCTTTCAATGAATTGTTCTGAAAGAAATATGTGAACCTGAAATTATCCGTTTAGAATCGTTTTCCACGTTTCTTTTAACCACTAGAAGACCTTGTGGGG